TCTGAGTGTGGTGTGGTCACACTATAATCCCGTTTCCATTTCCCATCCTCAAGATGTAGAATACAAGGCGCACATGCCTGGAATGTTTTTTCAAGCCAGTGGAGCCAGGCAGCTACAACTGCTAGGCTGTGTGGGATCTGACTTCCCTTTTTATTTATTTATTTGTTTGTTTGTTTATATATATAGAGAGAGGGGTATTTTTACTATAGAGTGCTTGCATTCGCCAAAGAGATAGAAAGTGAGAACTCATCCCCCCAGGAGGATGGCCACGCTGCAATCCCTTCTCCTCCATTCTCCTCTCAGGATTTTGGGTACATACGCACATGTACCTAGTGTGAGGTTTAATCCACCAGATCTGAGACTTGAACCACAATCGACACATGGGAGTCCAGTGACGTAACCGTTTCCCCATCTGCTGGTCCCTATTTATTTATTTTTTAGATAGATTTTTGCTATAGGGTACAAGTACTCACTGGAGAGACAGAAAGTGAGAAATCACCCCCCTGGAAAGGGGAGATGGCCACATTGTAATCATTTCTCCTCCGTTGACCTTTTGGGACATTGGACAGGCATGCACTTGAGCCTGGTGTGAGTTTTAAGCCTCCACGTCCAGGATTCGAACTGCAGTCAGCCATGTGGTAGTCTAGTGCCTTAACCCTATACCACCTGCTGGGTCCAGGATCTTACTTACCTTAACCACTAAGCTACAGGGCAGGCCCCAAATCAGTTTTTGTTGTTGTTGTTTTTTAATTTGCTACAGAGTGCATGTGTTCCACTGAGGGAGGGAGGGAGGGAGAGAGAGAGAGAGAGAATGCTCCCCTCCCCAAGAGGGATAACCGTGTTGTAATCCTTCTCTGCTTGCTCTCATAATTTTGGACACACACATATACCCAGTGTGTTTTTCAAACCACCAAATCTGAGATTCAAACCATGCAGTTGGCCATATGAGATCCAGCCACCTTAACTACAGTGCCACAGCTGGTCTCAAATTCAGATTACTTTTTTTCTGTTTTTTAGATTTTTGCCATACGTATGTGCACTTGCAGAGAGAGAAAAAGAAAAAGTGAGAAATCACTCCCCCAGAAGAAGGCTAAACCCTTCTGTTCCATTATTTTGGGATTTGGGGCATGTACACATATGCCTGAATTTTTTTTTTCCCTTCAGGTCATAAGTTTATTTACAAGCATATTCAGTAAACTATGAGTTTAAGAGTTTGATCCATTTTCCAGAGATTGTGACTGCGCGTCTTAAAATGTTCTTCATATCTGGGAACCAGCAATTAGTATAATGGCTATGTCGCTGGACTCCCACGTAGTCGACCATGGTTCGCATCCCGGACTCTGGCTTAAAACTCACGCTGGGCGCGTGTGTGTACATGCCCAAAATCCCGAGAGGAGAATGGAGGAGAAGGGATTGCGGCGTGACCATCCTCCCTAGGGGATGATTTCTCGCTTTCTGTCTCTATGTCTCTGTCTGGCGAGTGCACGCGGCGCCCTATAGTGAAAAACCTCTAAAAAAAAATGTTTTTCATATCTATTAAATGGATGAATTAAAACATCCTTATTTCTTAAGTAGTTGGTGTCTTACTATAAAGAAAGGTGGAGCAAATCCAGATCCAAAGTACAAAGTCATCATAACGAGTAACCGCCACTTGCTTTCCACTGAAAATGACAGATTCTTCCCCGGGCCCTCCTCATAGTGGCTCCTACAGACCATGGAGGTCATGAACCTCCAGATGCTCTGTCCTAGCATGGTGCTGCTGGGAGTTCTGTGAGACACATAGAGTCCGAAGATGGGAGAAATGGCCTCTGCAACAACCCCTTCCTTTCTCATGACCTTCTGCCTGAATGTTTTTCAAGCCACTGGATACGGGATTCGAACCAGGGAGTCAGCCATGTGGGATTCAGCACTTTAACCACTACACCACCTGTTGGCCCCCAAATAAGTTTTCATTTATTTTTTTAAATAGTGGTTTCTTTAATTTTATTTATTATTTTTTAATTTGACCAGAGAAAAAGAGAGGGAAAGTGAGAAAGCAAGCCACTACAGCACAGTCAGTCATTGGGAGAGTCCAGCATCTTAACCACTTGCCGTCCCCTAAATCAGTTTTTTGGTTTTTGTTTTGTTTTGTTTTGTTTTGTTTTGTTTTGTTTTGTTTTAGGATTATTTTATTTTGGGGTCAGTAGGTGCCATGGTGGTTAAGGGCACTGGATTCCCACATGGCTGACCATTTCAAGCCCTGGACCTAACGGCTTGCTTTCTCAATTTAACTTCCCCCCCTTACTCTGTCCCTCTCTGGTCAAATAAAAACAAATAAATAAAGTGAAATAATTCCTTTTTAATTTTATTTCACTCTATTTATTTATTTATTTATTTATTTATATTTGACCAGAGAGGGACAGAAAGTGAGAAAGAAAGCAAGCCACCAGGTCCGGGACCAAACCACAGGTGGCCATGTCTGAGTCCAGCGCCCTCAACTACCACCCCATATGCCGGTCTGCCCAAAATCAGTTTTAAAAACAGACTTTGCGAGGCTGGCAGGTGGTATGGTGGTGGTTAAGGGCTCTGGACTCCCACATGGCTGACTGCAGTTCAAGTCCCGGACTTGGCAGCTTGCTTTTTCACTTTCTCTCTCTCTCTCATTCTCTCTCTGTCCTTCTCTGGTCAAATTAAAAAATAAAGTTAAATAAAAAAATAATTATTTAGGGGACCAGCAGGTGACATGGTGGTTAAGGCACTGGACGCTCCCATGTGGCTGACCACAGTGTTGAGTCCCAGACCCAGTGGTTTGCTTTCTCACTTTCTCTCTTTGTGTGTCTCTGTGTCTCCGTCGGATCAAATTAAAATAAATGAATGAATAAATAAAATTAAAATAATTCTTTAAAAAATAAATCTAAAAAAAAAAAAAGCTTTGCTACATCAGCAGGTTGCTCAGTGGTTAAGGCACTGGACTCCATGTGGCTGATAACAGCAGATTTGGTGGGTTGAAAAATCATGCCATGTGCGTTTGTGCCCAAAATTCCGAGAGGAGAATGGGGGAGAAGAGATTGTAGTGTGGCCATTTGCCCTCCTGTTGAGGGGTGATTTTTTCACTTAACCTCTCTCTGTCTCTGTACTCCTGTGGGCATATGTGCCCTATGGCAAAAACTGTTTCCCCCATCGAAAAAATTATTTTAAAGTAAAATTTACTTTCTTTTTTTTTTTTTTTTAATTATTTTATTGGGGCCAACAGGTGGCATGGTTGTTGAGGGCACTGGATTCCCACACGACTGACTGCAGTTCAAGTCTTGTACCTAGCAGCTTGCTTTCTCTCTCTCTCACTCACTCTATCCCTCTCTGGTCAAAATAGAGTTAAATAAAATAATTCTTTATTAGAAAAAAAGGAAAAATCTTTTATTTAATTGTATTTTATTTGTGTATGTATTATTTATTGAGTTTAATTTGACCAGAGAGGGACAGAGAGAGAGGGAGAAAGTGAGAAAGCAAGCCACCTAGTCTGGTACCTGAACTGCCTTTGGCTGTTGGCGAGTATGGCGCCCTTAACCACTACACCACCTGCCAGCACCTAGAATTTCCTATTTTTTTAAAAAAAAAAAAAGAATTATTTAACTTTATTTATTTATTTTAATTTGATTAGAGGGTGGTAGAGGGAGAGAGAGAAAGTGAGAAAGCAAGCCGCCAGCCAGGTCCAGGACTTGAAACACAATCAGCCATGTGGGATTCCAGCAACCTTAACCGCCATGCCACCTGCCGACTCCTAGAATTTGCTTTTTTATTATTTCATTTGATGACTAAGTTTTCAGATTGCTTGTTTCATTTTGATTTTTCTTTAAATAATTATTTTATTTTATGTATTTTCATTTAACCAGAGAGGGACAGTGAGAGAGAGAGAGAGGGAAAGTGAGAAAGCAAGCCGCCAGGTCCAGGATTTGAACTGCGATCAGCCATGTGGGAGTCCAGGACCCTTAACCACCACACCAACTGCCAGCCCCGAGATTGCTTATTTTATTTTATTATTATCTTATTTTTTGGAGAGGTTTTTGCTATATAGCGCGTGTACTCACCAGAAAGACAGAGACAAGAAAGATAGAAAGCAAGAAATCACCCCCCACAGGGGATGGCCATGCTGCAATCCCAGCAGGTGGTGTGGTGGCTAAGGCGCTGGACACTCCCATGTGGTCAACCATGGTTTGAGTCCCAGACTTGGTGGGCTGGCTTTCTCTCTGTGTCTGGTCAAATTAAAAAAAAAAAGAACGAATAAACAAAATTAAATAATTCTTTAAGACTTATTTTATTTTATCCATTGTCATTGTTTTATTTATTTTTTTTCTTAAATAATTACTTATTAAATTTTATTTATTCATTCATTCATTTTTAATTTGACAGAGAGAGACACAGAGGTAGAGAGAGAAAAAGGGAAAGTGAGAAAGCAAGCCACTCAATCTGTGGTCAGTCATGTGGGCGTCCAGCATCTTAAACATTGTGCCACCTGCTGGCCACTCAGCTATTTCTTAAACATTCAGATCTCTTTTGGGGGGAGGGGAAGCCATGAAGCTTTCAATTCCTTTTTTTTTTTTTTTTTGGCTGTTTCTCAAGCCACCCACCTGTTTCTCTGCCTAAACTGCCAGACCTTGGAGCTGGCCTGATTTCCAATCTTTTTTTCTTTTTCTTTTTTTTCTGAGTTTTTTACTGTAGGACACATGCACTCCCTATTGAGAAAGTGAAAAATCACGCCCTCCAGAGGGATGGCCATGCTGCAGTCTCTTCTGTTCTATTCTTCTTTCCGAATTTTGGACATGCACACACACGCACCCAGCATGATTATCAAGCCTTTGGGTCCATAACCTGCTTGCCCCTTCAGCAGCCTTCTAGCTGCTCAGTTCATCATGTGCACTTACTATGCGCCCTTAGCACCTAACCATGGTAATGATAGATGCTCACTAAGAACTGAAAGAATGACTAAGTAAATTAACCTTTTTTTTTTTTTTTTTTGAGGTTAGAAAGGACAACTAACGTCAACCATGAAAGATCCAAGTCGCAGCAGTACTAGCCCAAGCATCATCAATGAGGATGTGATTATTAACGGTCATTCTCATGAAGATGACAATCCATTTGCAGAGTATATGTGGATGGAAAATGAAGAGGAATTCAACAGACAAGTTAGTCTTGTGTACCTATATGTTCTTTTTCGTTTGTTTGTTTTTTAAGTTTTTTTTTTTTTCTCTTCCAGCATCCCCAATAGGGCCTTAATACTAGATCCACCCAGAGCCTTCATGAACCCTGGATCACAGGCACATGCATGTTCACTGTACTCAGGGCAGTCTCCAGACATGAATCCAGAAACCTCCATGTTTTACTGCTGTGTCACCATCTGGCCTCAACAATGATTTTTTTTTTTTTTTTTTTTTGGTAGCCTGTTGTAATCCACAAATAATGCAGGTATACTTATCCCAAAAATGTGTTTTTTTTTTTCCCCTGATCCTTCAAATGTGGATTAATCTACTACCACTCCTATTTTATTTGGCTACTGAATATTATCAGGCTTTAATTGCTCACTGAAGAAACTTGGGGAACTTGTTTCAGGGTCCCACCCTTGAGATTGTTTTTTTTTAAGGAGAACTCGGGTGGAGCCTGGGAAACCATTCCAGTGAGCAGTCAAGTTGGGAAACCACTGCCTTACACCGATCAGATTGCTGGATTGTAAAGAAAGTCAAAAGAATTCAGGACTCAAGCAAACTAGCACACATACTAGGGTGCAGAGTTATAAGGGTCTCAATCTCATTAGCCTGCAAAATCTCTTATCACCCTTCTCTTTACAGAACTCTCATACATTGGTAAATGTTGTCTTTTAGTCCCATGTTTGTAACGTCTGTTCCTGTTTTCCTTGTAATTCCTCAAGGCCCTGATCATAGCTTTGATAATCAGTAGCCAGCTTGACTTCCCATCTCAGTGATGAAATACTGAAGGGTAAAACAATTTAGTCTACTTCAATGAGACTCAGTTGTCTTGTTTTGTTATTATTACCTATTCCCTGACCCTAGCCCCTAGAGATTTTTGTTTCAGTCATTTTTGTGTTGGATTGAGGTATGTATAGTTTGAAAGTTACAGATAATTCTGATATGTATTCCTTCAAGAGTGTGCCTTTGTCACTATTTCCATGCCACTCTCAGTGAAAACAGAAAATTGTGCTAATGTAAGTAGGGGCATAGAAAAGCCCTAAACTAGTAATATGCATTTTTTTCCCTTAGTACAGAAGTAGAAGAGAAAGTATGATATTGTGTGGTTTTTTGTTTTGTTTTTGAGAGAGAGATTTTTGCTATGGAGCATATGCTCCCTAGATAGATGGAGAGAGACAGACAGAGGGAAAGTGATAAAGCCATCCCCAAAGGGGTATGGCCACATCACAGTTCATTCTCCATTCTACTCTTGGGATTTTGAGCACACCCAGCGTGAATTTTAAGCCGCTAGGTCAGGGACCCAAACTGCGATCAATTATGTGAGAGTCCAGCATGGTAACCATTGCTCCATCTGCTGATCCTGATGCTGTGTTTTTAAAATGACTTAGTTCAAGGTATTTTCAGCAATTTCTAGAGATGTCTTACCAAGTGTGCTATGAATTATCCTTTATTATAAATCTAGATAGAAGAGGAGTTATGGGAAGAGGAATTTATTGAACGCTGTTTCCAAGAAATGCTGGAAGAGGAAGAAGAACATGAGTGGTTCATTCCAGCTCGAGATCTCCCACAAACTATGGACCAAATCCAAGACCAGTTTAATGACCTTGTTATCAGTGATGGCTCTTCTCTGGAAGATCTTGTGGTAAAAAGTTATTTTTTTTTTAATCTTTTCAAAACCTAGCTCTTTTTTTTTTTTGGGGGGGGGGGGTGGGGGGGAGAATAGGGTGTGTGTGATTACCAGACAGACAGAGACAGAAAGCGAGAAATCACCCCCCAGGGGAGATGGCCACGTTGCAATCCGTTCTCCTCCATTCTCTTCTTAGGATCTTGGTCACACCCACGCACATGCCTGGCATGAGTTTAAGCCATCGGCTCTGGGACTCAAACTGCAGTCGACTACATGGGAGTCCAGCTACATAGCCTTTATGCCAACTGCTGGTCCCCAAACCTAGCTCTTCTTTCCAGTAGCGGAAAAGCCAGCTACCATTTGTTTAAGAAGAGTTCTACATTTCTCTCCCTTCAGAAATTGTGCTGCTGCTTACCGTAGGAGCAGAGGCCTCTTGGTCTCATTTATGATGTAGAGTGAAGTCTGGCACACTGTGGAGCTAGTAGCTAGTCTCAGATCACTAACAGACTTCTTGTGCCACTGCTTTTAGTCTTGATATTGCCTTTAGTCTCTCTCTCTCTCTCTCTTTTTTTTTTTTTTTTTTTTTGAGAGAGATGTTTGCTTTAGGGGGTGTGCACTCACCAGAGAGACAGAAAGCAAGATATCACCCCTAGGGGGAATGGCCACACTACAATCCTTTCTCCAGTCCAGTCTTTTCTCAGAATTTTGGGTATGGGGAACAAGCAGTTAGCGTAATCGCTATGTCGCTGGACTCCCACATAGTCGACCACGGTTCGTGGCCCGGACTCGGTGGCTTAGAACTCACGCCGGGCGCGTGTGCGTGCGTGCCCAAGATCCTGAAAGAGAATGGAGGAGAAGGGATTGCGGTGTGACCATCCCCCCTGGGGGGTGATTTCTCGCCTTCTGTCTCTCTGTCTCTCTCTGTCTGTCTGGCGAGCGCACGTGCCCCATAGCGAAAACTTCTTCCCCGCCCCCTCCCAAAAAAAGAGAGAGAGAATTTTGGGTATGCAAACATACTTGCCTGACATGAGTTTCAAGTCGCCAGGTCTGGGACTGGAACTGTAGTCAACTACATGAGAGTGTAACAATGTAACCATTATGCCATCTACTGGTCCTGCTCTTTAGTCTTGATGTTGCCCTAGGATATTTAAATGTCTTAAATATCCAAAATACTGAGATACTTTGTTCAAAAGAACACAAAAAGAAACATCACAGTATTACCCTGTCACTTACTTATACAAAAGCAGCTTAATGGAGAAGTTTCTTTAATCTTGTCCTAAACATTTGGTGAAGTGTACAGATTTCTTTTTCTGAAAGATAAAATTTTGGAAACCTTTTCCTGAGGATTCTGTTAAGGTTTCCAGTTTTGTCTGAAATTATGATTTAATACATTTTACAAACTTGGCAAAAAAAAGGAAGGGACACAAACCTAGATTGATATTTTTAGATATTCTTAATGTATTATTAATGATATTTGCAGTAAAAAGATTTTTTTGGAAACTGTGATTAACTAAACATTAGCACCAAAGTAGAAATTGATTAATCCTTCACTAAACATAAGTTAAAATAATTTCTGAACTCAAAATTTTCTCAAGGTCTTCATGTTAGCATTTCTGTTCATGTTTATAATCTCTAGTTACTTCTACAGGTAGTTCTCTAGACTCTGAAGTATTTTTTGTAATTGTCCTCTGGTCATAATGCAATGGTTTCCTAATCTGTGCATCATAATAACCTATGAAACATTAAAACCAAAAATCAGTTCCTTAGCTGTATCACAGACCTAGAGACACAATCCTTTAGGCATGTTAATTTTGTTTTTAAAGAATTAGTTAGTTATTTTATTACTTTTTTTTAATTTTTGACCAGAGAAAGAGGGAAAGTGAGAAAGCAAGCCACCAGGTCTGGGACTCAAACCACAGTCGGCCATGTGGGAGTCTAGTGCCTTAGCTCACATGCCACCTGCCAGCCCCAGGCATGTTAATTTTTTTTTAGAATTATTTTATTTAACTTTATTTATTTATTTCAATTTGCCTAGAGAGGGAGAGGGAAAGCGAGAAAGCAAGCCACCAGGTCCAGGACTAGAACCGTAGTTGGCCATGTGGGAGTCCAGCTCCCTGAACTACCATGCCACCTACTGGCACCAGGCATGTTAATTTTTAAAAAGCTCTACCAGTGTCAGCAGTTGGCATGGTGGTTAAGGCACTAGACTCCCACATGGCTGACTGGTTCAAGTCTTAGACTTGGGGGCTTACTTTCTTTCTCTCTTTTCTCTTTGTATCTCCCTCTGGTCAAATTCAAATAAAAAAATAAGTAAAATTAAATAAGTGTATATATATATATATATATATGTATGTGTGTGTGTGTGTGTGTGTGTGTGTGTGTATATGTATGTATGTATGTATGTATGTATGTATATATATAAAAGGCAGCTCAGAGGATTTATTACACAGAAAACCTGCTGGCATTAAGAAACCACTCTTGGGTCTGGCAGGTGGCGTGGTTAAGGGTGCTGGACTCCCACATGACTGACCGTGGTTCGAGTCCTGGACCTGGCGGCTTGCCTTCTCATTCACTCTTTCTGGCTCTGTCCTTCTCTGGTCAAATTAAAAGAAATAAATGAATAAATAAAGTTAAATAAAATAAGTCTTTTAAAAAAGTTAACAATGTTAATCTGCATTTTTAAAAAAGAAACCACTCTTCTAGGGGTCTGGGAGGTAGCATGATGATTAAGGGCACTGGACTCCCACATGGCCAACCACTGTTCAGTCTTAGATCTAGTGGCTTGCTTTCTCACCTCTCTCACTTTTTCTCACTCTGTCCCTCTCTGGTCAAATTTTAATTAATTAATTAATTCTTTAGTTTATAAAGAAAACTCCTTTTTTTTTTTTTTTTTAAAAGAATTGTTTTGTTTCAACTTATTTAATTTGACCAGAGAGGACAGAGAGAGAGAGAGTGAGAAAGCAAACTGCCAGGTCCGGGATTTGAACTTCAATGGGCCATGTGGGAATCCAATACCCTTAACTGCTATGCCATCTGCTGGCCCCAGGAAACCACTCTTCTAAAGAACTGTGAGAAGAACTCAGAAATTACCTTGGGATATAGCCTCTGGACCTGGTATTATTCCATAGTATACAACCATTTCAGTTTATTTGAGATTACTTTTTGTTGTTGTTATTCTGTAGCTTCCAGAAGATTATACCTTCAAAAACAATTTTTTAATTTAAATGTCACACTTTTCAAGTGTAGCTATGTCTCCCTTTGCAGAAGGGAAACTATATCCTGTCCAAGGAAATTGCTGTGAATAAATTATGAGGCTAAAATTGTTGCTCCAACACATTTAATATGATGCATTGATCTTGGAGTAAGTGACATAGAGTTCAAATTCAGTGTAAAAGCCTGTCAGCATGCCTCTACTTTAGGCCCTGGAATCTGTTCTGCTTTCTTTGCATCTTCATCAAGTTTGCAATCCAAAATGTAGCAGAGAAGAATTTCCAGCTTTTCTATATGCTGACATGACTACTTCGGAAAGTAAAGATTTAGAGACAGAATAATGTTGGTACAAATTTCCAAAACTCTTAGAGACTTTGGCCCATCCCGCCCTCTTTTCTTCTTTTTTATTTTTTTATTTTTTTTAATTTTTGTTTTAAGAATTATTTAATTTAATTGTAATTATTATTTTTTTAATTCACCAGAGAGAAGCAGAGAGAGGGAAAGTGAGAAAACAAGCCATCAGGCTCAGGACTCAAGCTGCAGTCGTCAGTGTGAGAGTTCAGTGCCTTAACCACTATGTACCTGCTGGCCCCCTCCCTCTTTTTTAAACTGATGCAAAAATGGAATTCCAGAAAAGTCGGCTCATTCGTGCTTATATGAAAATTCATGGGCACAGCTGGAATATCAGACTTGGGTCTTCTGGCTCCCTGTGTAGTTTTCTTTTCCTGTTAATATTTTGAGCTTCCTGTGGGAATTAGAAGATAATAGTTCTATAAAAACAACTTCACATTTTCAATGAGGATCATAAAGTAAAGTTAATCAATAGTCCCCCAGTAACTTAATCATATTTTGAACACTTGTTTAAAAAGTTTGCATGGCATGAAAGTATTTAAAGAAAATCAGGTATCATAGGTTAATATAATTCCTTGTTCAGTGTTATTACTTTATGTGATGTTGGAGGGATTCTGGTTATATTTATTTTTAAGTCTATTCTTTCTTTTAAAAGCTAATACAGGGGGAACCAGCAGTTAGCGTAATGGCTATGTCGCTGGACTCCCACGTAGTCGACCGCGGTTCGCGTCTTAGACCCGGTGGCTTAAATCTCACGCCGGGCGCGTGTGCATGCGTGCCCAAGATCCCGAGAGGAGAATGGAGAAGGGATTGCGGCGTGACCATCCCCCCTGGGGGATGATTTCTCGCTTTCTGTCTCTATGTCTCTGTCTGTCTGGCGAGCGCACGCGCCCTATAGCAAAAACCTCTCCAAAAAAAAAAAAAAAAAAAAGCTAATACAGGGACCAACAATGGCATAATGGTTAACCTCATTGGACTCTCACTTTGACTGCAGTTTAAGTCCTGGACCCAGCAGCTTAAAACTCACAGTGGGCATATGTTTGTGCATGCCCAAAATCCCCAGAGGAGAATGGAAGAGATTGTGGCTTGGCCAACCCTCCACCCCCAGGGGTGGTTTCTCACTTCTGTCTCGCTGTCTCTCTCAGTCTCTCCAGTGAGTGCGCACACCCTATAGCAAAAATCTCTCTTAAAAAATGTTTTTAATTTAAAAAAATTAAAGTTCATACAGGGAGGCAGGCAGGTGGCATAGTTAAGGTGTAGGACTCTCACATGGCTCACTGCAGTTCAAGTCTCAGACCTGGCAGCTTGCTTTCTCATTTTCCCTTTCTGTTCTCTCTAGTTAAATTAAAATAATGATGACGATAATGAATTAAAATAAAATAAAATAATTCTTTAAAAATAAAAGAGCTGATACAAGGTCCAAAAGTGGCATGGTGATTAAGGCACTGAATCCTACATGACCAACACCCTGGTTTGAGTCCCAGTCCTGGTAGCTTGAAAAACATGCTGGCAACATATGCATGTATGCCCAAATTCCTGAGAAGAGGATGGAAGAGAAGGGATTGCGTTGTGGCCATCACCCTTACGGGGTGATTTCTCACTCACTCTCTCTCTGTCTCTGGAAAGTGCATGCACCGTATGGCTAAATAAATAAATAAATTTGATATAAATAATATAATACCTATCCTTTCTATCTGATTTTTGCCTTTTCCTGCCCCACATGTTTTTGATTAAGTATAACCTTAATCTAAGTTCTTGCTTTTGTCTCGTATTTTCTTGGAAGATGTTTTTACATGTAGATCTAGGTTGACTGCTGCTGAGTATCTAAACCCATCTGTTAATGAATTTACTTTTTATGTACCTATTTTCCAGGTCAAGAGCAATCTGAATCCAAATGCAAAGGAGTTTGTTCCTGGGGTGAAGTACTGAAATATTTGAGTAGATGGGGCCCTCTTTTGGTGGATGTAGCACAATTTCCACACTGTGAAGGCAGTATTAGAAGACTTAATTGTAAAAGCTCTCTCTTGTCACTGTGTTACACTTATGCATTGCCAAAGTTTTTGTTAGTCTTGCATGCTTAATAAAAGTGCTGAGACTGTTATTAAGTAAAAAACTGTCAAACATTTACTGAAAATAGAATTGGCCCCAAGGCTTGATGTGAAGACAGCAAGGAAAGAAGCACCAGTCAAGTTGTGATAAAGTACCAAATTAAAATGACCTCCAAATCTTACTGAATTGTCTTCTTTGAATCTAAACTTGGCCCTTAAAGTTAACTAACATGGTTAATGTCTAAACTTTTAAAAAATCTAAATTTAAATTAAGTTCTAATTGTTAAGTGGCTTTCTCAGTTTGGACTTAAATTTGCATTTGTTCCCATCAAAAAGAGTTATTTTCATTTGTTCCCATCAAAAAGAGTTTCCCTTTTCTGAAGCAGCTGTGTTAAAGTGAGATAATTCGTTGTACAATGATAAATATGTCTTTGGTTATGAGGTTATAAAGTAGCAATCACATGAAGCTTTTCTGAAATGTTATCGTGTTAGGAATATTGAATTCTGCGTCTAACGTTACATCCGAGGAAGTATGTGATGTGAGAACTGCATCATCATCTAAGGATTCACTGCATCGTAGCTATGCCTGTGTGAAGGTGATCATAGGACCAGCACCAACCCGTAATCTAATTGAACAAAGAGACTGTAACATTATGATTTGAGTAGTGCTTTTCCTTGCTTTGTTAACCATCACGACAGTAGTCTGCAGCACAACTTTTCTTTTAACAAAGCTAGAACAGTTTTGGCTTCTTAAACTTCATATTTGGGTAGGTTAAGCTGCCATACATGTTCAGTGTGAATAGTGTTTAAGTTGAAAATATTGTAAAAAAATTATATTTTTTCAAAAATATTTAAAAAAATAAATAATAGTAGAACTGAGCCGATGGTTGTGGTTATTGGTACTAGGATGCACTATCTAGTGGTTATACTTTTAGTGTGGGCCCAGTATCCCCAAAAGAGCAACCTTTGTTAAGATTCCATAGTAGCAAGTATGTTATTCTGCAAGTATCTGTCCAAAGTACAGCAGTAAAATAAACGCCATTGTCTCATCCTTGCTTTTTATCACCTCAAGTGCAGTATCAGGGTAACTATAGAGAGCTATGTTAAGAACATTTATGGTTGGGGATCTGTAGGTTGCATAATGGTTAAGGTGTTGGACTCCCACATGGACAGCTACAGTTTGAGTCCGGGCCTGGTGGCTTCCTCTCTTTTTCTCACATGCTTGCACTTGTGCATACACATATGTACCCTCTAGCAAAATCTAAAGATAATAATAATGATAAATAAAATTAAATATTTTTAAATTATTTAATTCCATTTATTTATTCATTCTAGTTTGACCAGAGAGATATACAGATATACAGAGAAAGAGAGAGAGGGAAAGTGAGAAAGCAAGCTACCTAATCCAGGATTCGAACCACAATCAGCCATGTGGGGGGTCCAGTGCCTCAACCACCATGCCACTTTCCAGCCCCCCCCCTTTTTTAAATTATTTTTGTTAACTTGATTTGTTTCCTTTAATTTGACTAGAGAAGGACAGCAAGAACAAGAGAGAGAAAGCAAGCTGCCAGGTCCAGGAATCAAACCACAGTCGGCCATGTGGGAGTCAATCACCCTTAACCATCACACCTGCTGGCCCCGCGCCCCCACCCCCCTTTTTTAAGAGAGATTTTTGCTATAGGGAATGTGGACTTGCCAAAGACAGAAAGTGCCAAAGTGAGAAAGTGATTTCTCACTTTCTGTCTGTGAGAAAGTGAGAAACCACCCCCCAGGGAGGTCCAGCGACATAGCCATTATGCTAACTGCTGGTCCCCATGTGTAGATTTTTTCATAAAATTCATTTTCTATTAACTTATTGAAGAGCCCTCAGTAGAGGATTTTTTTCTGTTCTTGCATTGTGTCAGTATTTCTCAGCCTTTTTCTTGTCAAATATCAAACTAGTGTTTGTGTAGCATACCTGGAGTGTAAGAATGAGGCTACCCATGACTGGAGTTTCTAGCTCATAGACTCTAGTTGGCTCAGATTCTGTTCAGGAGGCTGCAGGGATCAGTATTTCAGTATACTGGGAACCTCTTAGTAGTCCATTTATTTATTGGGAACCAGCAGTTAGCGTAATGGCTATGTCGCTGGACTCCCACATAGTCGACAGCGGTGGCTTAGAACTCATGCCGGGCGCGTGTGCATGCGTGCTCAAGATCCCAAGAGGAGAAGGGATTGCGGTGTGACCATCCCCCCTGGAGAGTGAGTTCTCACTTTCTGTCTCTATGTCTCTCTCTCTGTCTGGCGAGCGCACGCGCCCTATAGCAAAAACCTCTCCAAAAAAAAAAAAAGTCCACAGCAGTTGACAAGTTTACCCTTACTATCAAATGGCTAGAGAATTCCACCAAAAAGTTATATATTAACCTTTTACCCAGTCCACCTTCCCCTTGAGGACACTCAGGTCATAAAAATGGAAACTTGAGTTGTTTGGTTTTCCTTTCATTAAAGCATAAGAAGTGTTTTGATGGGGCCAGCAGATGGTGTGGTGATTGTGGCCGGACTCCCACATGGCTGACTGTGGTTCAAGTCCTAGACCTGGCAGTTTGCTTTCTCACTTTCCTTTTCTCTCTCTCTCTTTCTGGTCAATTTCAATAAAATAAAAAAATAGGGGCCAGCAGTTGGCATAATGGCTATGTCGCTGGACTCCCATGTAGTCGACAGAGGTTCGAGTCCCGGACCTGGTGGCTTAAACTCACGCCAGGCACGTATGCATGCGTGCCCAAGATCCCGAGAGGAGAATGGAGGAGAAGGGATTGCATCGTGGCCATCCACCCTGGGGGGTGATTTCTCACTTTCTGTCTCTGTCTTTCTGGTGAGCGCATGTGCCCTATAGCAAAAACCTCTCCAAAATAAAAAAAGAAGAAATAAAATAAAAAATAAAATAATGACAATAAAATTAAATCATTTTTTTTAATGTTTTGATTATTTAATTCTCCCATAAAAGCCTACCTTTCTTGGAAGTAATTTTTCAGACCTTGGTGCACACAGATCCAGTTTCCATATTTTCTGGAATATCTTCTGGTTCTGGAAGCTGACCTTTTGACTTTGTAGGAAATCCTTTGAAGACTGGGCAGATGGGAATGTATTTCAGACAGGCAATTCTTTTTACCATGCCCATTCCAATGGGGAAGTCATAGCTCTGGAGGCTGGTAGACGTCTCACTGTTGGCATGAGCCCCAGCTTTCCACTGTATCAGACCTCGTTCCTCTGGGCTCCCTGGAAGAGGACAGTGAGTCACTTAGCAGCCACCTTCTGCTACCTCCCCTTCCTGTAACCTAGTACTAAGACCGACTTCTGAAATCAAATGTCTTGTTTGAGATGTTTTTGCTATAGGGCACATATGCTCACCAGAAAGACAGAGAGACAGATAGAAAGCGAGAAATCTCCCCCCAGGGGGTATGACCATGCTGCAATCCCTTCTTCTCTCAGGATCTTGAACACACATGCACCCAGCATGAGTTTAAGCCACCAGGTCCGGGACACAAACTGAAGTCAACTACATGGGATTCCAGTGACATAGCCATTATGCCAACTGCTGCTCCTACAAGTGTCTGTTTATAATTTTTATTTTTGCCAGAGGGCACATATACTTGGCATTGAGAGAAAGCACTCCCCAGTGAGATGTGATTATACTACTTTTTTTTTTTTTCTCCATTTCTCCCTCCTACAGTTATTTTGGGCATTTGTGCATATGTACCCAGCATGGGTTTTTTTGTTTGTTTTTGTTTTAAAGAATTATTTAATTTGTTTATGTATGTATGTATGTATGTGTTTATTATTCATTTGACCATAGACAGAGACAAAGAGGGGAAAAGTGAGAAAGCAAACCACCAGGTCTGGGACTCAGACCATATTTGGCCATGTGGGAGTCTAGCGCCTTAACCCACCATACCATCTGCTGGCCCCAAGGTCCAGGACTCAGACTATGGGGTTGGCCATGTGGGATCCAGCTGCCTTAACTACCAGGTCACAGAGCTAGCCAACATTTATTTCGTAAGTGAGAGAAATACGTACCCTAGACAGTCTTATCACACTACAACCCCACCCCAGCCCTCTGACCAGGAGAAATCACATGCCCTATATATTTCAGGTCTGTCAGAATCTAAAGTCTTGGGGCTAGCAGATGGCCTAATGGTTATATTTCTGGACTCCCACATAGTTAACCATGGTTCAAGTCCCAGACCTGGTGGCTTAAAATGCATTCCATGCATGTCCAAAATCTTGAGAGGAGAATGAAGGGATTGCGGTGTGGCCATCCTCCTGGGAGGTGATTTCTTGCTTGCTTTCTGTCTGTCTTGCCAACAAGCACAATGCCTACTAACAAAAATCTCACTTAAAAAAAGAACCTAAACAGTCTTTAGTGTGGCTCTAGCACTGCAGAGTAGTCCCTACTGCCTAGGCCTGAATCCGTGATTTTTTTTTTCTAGAGAGATTTTTGCCCTAGGGCATGTGTACTTACCAGAGAGACAAAGAGCAAGAAATCACCCTGCCAGGGGCCCGTTACCATACCTTAATCCCTTCTCCTCCGTTCTCTTCTCAGGATTTTTGGCATGCATGCACATATGTCCCAGTGTAAGTTTCATGCCACCACGTCTGGGATTTGAACCACAGTTGGTCATGTGAGACTCCAGAGACAATTATTATGCCATCTGCTGATCCCATTAATCCATGATTTCTGAGCTGCTACCTTGGCCAGAGCTTTAGAATAGTAGTTATAATTAATCATTACTGTGTAACTTCAGTGTGCCAGGATCTGTGTTAAGTTTTAATTTCAGTACCTCAGTTCTTCAAAACACTTCCCTGGGAGTATAGGCACTGCTGTATAAAATTTTAATATTAAGAAACAGGTTAAGTAATTGTCAGTGGTATGAGGCTGTGTGTGCTGAGTCTGTGGGGTCCAAATAGTGTCTAGACTGTGCCCTGAGAAGTAGGGAGGTGTATTTTGAAACAGTACAATCAATATTAATATTCAGTAATATTTTATATTTGCAACATAAACTCTTGTTTTTATAATACTAGCTTCATAAAGGCCAGCAGGTAACGTGGTGGTTAAGGGCACTGGACTCCCACATGGCTGACCATGGTTTGAGTCCTGGACCTGGTGGCTTGCTTTCTTGCTTTCCCTCTCTCTCTCTCTTGCTCTGTCCCTCTCTGGTAAAATATAAAAACAAATAAATAAAGTTAAAGAAAATAAATTTTTTTTTCCTTAAAGAGAGATTTTTGTTACAGGGTGTGTGCGCTTGCCAGAGAGGCACAGAGAGACAGAAAGCGAGAAATAACACCTGAGGGGAGATGGCCACGCTGCAGTTCCTTCTTCATTCTCGGGATTTTGGGCATGCACACACATGCACCTGGTGTGAATTTTAAGTCAGCGGGTTCAGGACTCAAACCAAGGTTAACTATGTGGGAGTCCAGTGATGTAACCATTACGGCATCTGCTGGTTCAAAAACAAAATTAATCTTTTTTTTTTTTAAGAATTATTTTGGGACCAGCAGGTGGCAAGATGGTTAAGGCGCTGGGCACTCCCACATGGGCAACCACAGTTTGAGTCCCGGCTTGCTTTCTCACTTTCTCTATTTCACTCTGGTCAAATTAAAATGAATGAATGAATAAATAAAATTAGGAGGGAAAAAAGGACTTCATTTAAAAAAAAAGAATTATTTTATTTGTTTGTTTGTTTGTTTGTTTTAATTTGACCGGGGAGGGCAAGAGAAAGAAACTTCAACCGCAGTTGGCCATGTGGAAGTCCAGCGCCTTTAACCACCATGCCACCTGTTGGCCCCTAAAATAATTATTAAAAAAAAAATACAAGCCTCAGGGCTGGCAGGTGGTGCTGGACTTCCACATTGCCAACCGTGGTTCAAGTTCCAGACCTGGCAGCTTGCTTTCTCTCTTTCTCTCTCTCTGTCTCTCTTTCTCTCTCTTTCTCTCTTTCTCTCTGTCTGTCTCCCTCTGATGAGCATACAGTCTGTCTGCCAAATTAAAAAAGAAGGTAAAGAATTTATGTGCTGAAATCTGATGGTATTAGGAGGTGGGGCCTTTGGGAGGTGCTCAGGTCATGAGGGTGAAGCTTTCAGAGGTGGGAAACAAGGCCAACCCCAGGACAGTAACGGGGGAAGCTGGACCCCACAAAGTACACCACGCAGTCTGAGCTTTGGACCTGGTAGCCTGAGAAATATGCTAGGCACCTGCTGTGCGCATGGCCCAAAATCCTGTAGGAAGGGAGAGATAGAGGGAAACACTGCCATAGGGTATGCATGTCCCCAGAGAGAGACAGTGAGAGGGAAAGTGAGAAATCACCCCCTGGGGGGATTGCCACTCCACAGTCTGGTCTCCACTCTTCCTGGGATTTTTGGACCTGCGTGCATACATCCCCAGTGTGATTTTCAAGCCACTGTGTCTGCTACTCGAACTACAGTCAGCCATATGTGAGTCCAGCATTTTAACCAGTATGCCATCTGCTGGAGATATGGACACAGGGGAATTTTTACACCTGGGGTCCTCAGGGAAGACTGCATAGAGGAGGTACTGATTGAGCTGGAACTGGTTGCACAAAGTAATGGTGGGCAAAAGCAGAGGGAAAAGATCTATGGATATAGCACAGAACCACAGTCCTAGTACATTACCTTCCTACCACTGACAGGACACACAGCAGCTACATCAGAGCTCCCTTCCTCTGCCAGACTCCCCAGCCTACCTTCCAAATCCCTCCTGCAATACCTTCTCTACTTCAAGTCCCCTCTTCTTGGGCCACAGAGTTTCCCACCCAAGAAGCTCTCCAGATGACTCCAGCCTACTAGCCTCATTGACTTTATTGCTTACTTAAGCCCAATTTTACTTCCTATTTTGTGCCAGGAACTCCTTAAAACAAACTATGGGAGCCAGCAGGTGGCATGGTGGTTGAGGTGCTTGACTTCTACATGACTGACCATGGTTCAAGTCCTGAACCTGGCAGCCCCAAAATCACAAGAAACAAATAGATGTTAAATAAATGTGTTTAAAAAAAAAAAAAAGACTGGGGCTAGCCAGCAGGTGGTACAGTGCTTACATCATTGGACTACCACATGACCAACTGTGGTACGAATCTTGTACCTGGCAGCTTGAAAATCATGCTGGGTGAACGTGTGTGTGTGCCCAAAATCTCAGGAGGAAAATCGTAGAGAAGTGATTGCAATATGGCCCTCCCTCCTGGGTTGTGGTTTCTCACTTTCCCTTTCTGTATCTCTCTCTGTCTCTCTCATCTCTGGCAGCACATATGCCCTATGGTAAAAACATAAACAAAACAAAATAAACTATGACTTACACTTTTTAAAAAAAGAATTATTATTATTTTTAATTTGACCAGAGAGAGTGGGAAAATGTGAAAGTAACCTGTCAGGTCTGGGACCCAAAGCATAGTTGGCCATGTGGGAGTCCAGCGTCCTAACCACCACACCACCTGCCAGCCTCAATTTATATATATTTTTTGCATATATCCTCAGCGTTTAATTCAAGACAAAGCTGGTCAATTTCACCAACATTTGCTGAACTAAATAGCCTGCCCTATAAAGCGGTCTTTAGATAGCTAAAGAGAAAGAGCAAATACAAAGTTAAGTGCTGGAGAAAGCTGTGCTTTTCTATAGCTAAAGATTGGGTTCTGAACCAGCCAGATCTAGATTTGGATCCAGATCGTGTGACCTTAGACAAGTGACTTAACCACTCTGAACTTCAAATTTCTCAATGCATATTGAAAGGATACTGCAGGTTATATAGCATAACCCATATGATGATTTCTGGTAGGGATGGGTGCTGCTCCTTTGGGTTGAACGATGCAGGTGTGAAAAGCAGTTCTGAGTCTGTCATTAACTAAGAAGTGTCACAGTGTAGAGCTGCTCATCCAGATGCCCTCCATCTTCCTAGATTTCCTAAGCACTGAAACTGCCACTTCACTGTCTCAGGATCACAGGATAGCCTACTCCAGTCCTCAGGCCAGCTGGTGGCACAGTGGCTGGATCCCACATGGACCACTGGATGGTTTGAGTCCCGGACCCAGTGACTTGGAAAAACACTGGGTGGGGCCGGCAGGTGGCATGGTGGTTGAAGGCGATGGACTCCAACATGGCTGACCATAGTTCGAGTCCCGGACCTGATGGCTTGCTTTCTCACTTTCTCTCTCACTCTGTCCCTCTCTGATCAAATTAAAAATAAATAAATAAATAAATAAAGTTAGTTCAATAAAATAATTATTAAAAAAAAAAAAAAAAAAAAAACCCTGGGGGATTAAATTTGTTATCCTGTGAAAAACCATCCTAATTTCTGCAGAGATGTCCTTGCCCAAAATCTTCAGAATGGAGAAGGGACTGAGGTGTGACCATCTCCTCTGGGAGGTGATTTCTCACTCTCCCGTACTCCTCCCACCTCTCTGGCGTGCACACATGCCCTATAGCAAAACTATTTTTAAAAAAAGGGCGGGAGGTGAGTACTATGATCTGGCACAGCTAGATCTGGAACAGCTGCTTCCTCTGATTCTGCCTAAAGTCTCAGGGAAGCCCCAGCTCTTCCCTTTCCAGTTGTGCATAAGTAGCCTCTGACTCCTGTGTCCTGTGAATATAACCACTAGGAATTTCAGAAAAGAAGGACGTAGGCAAGACCTGTGGCTGTATTCAGGCTGGTAAGTGGCTGGGAATGGAGGGCCATCATCTTGCTACTCACATCACTTTTGTGCCTAAAGTGATGTAGTCATCAACCCCATCTCCATAGAGCCTTCCCCAATTTGCCAGCCCAAGGTCCTTGAAACCCTCCAGCAGAAAGTATGGTGCAAGTCAGGGACACAGGTCATTGACTGGTTTAGATGAATGTTGTTAAAATTCCAAGTGTGCAGGATCAGCAGGTGGCATGATGGTTATGTTGTTGGACTCCCATGTAGTTGACCAAGATTTGAATCCTGGACTGGACAGTTTAAAACTCATGTTGGGCACGTGTGTACCCAAAATCCCAAAAGGAGAATGGAGGAGAAGGGATTGCAGCATGACCATCCCCCTGAGAGGTGATTTCTCATTTTTATGTCTCTCGGTATCTCTGTCTCTCTGGTGAGCGTATGCACCCTATAGCAAAAAACTCTCTAAAAAAATAATTCCAGATGTGCAACATTTTAATTTTGTGAACTTGTCATATTTTGAAGATAGGACACTTAACCCCATGTCTATACCATAGTCAGTGTTCAATAAATGTTAACTGCTTGTTATTAGAGCACCTGGTGACATTTTAAAGTACATTTACTGGACACACTTATATGTGGACCAGGAGGGTTCTGAGAGACCCTATGAAGTGTCCTCCACAATCCCTACAAAAAGCTCTGGCACCAAAGGCAAGGAGACACTGAAGACTCTTCTACTGAGTTGTCTGGAAAGTCATGACACATTTTTGCATATAAAACCAGATACATGTATCATAGCTTTCCCAACAACCTAATAGTAGCCAGAGTGGCAGGCTGCTGATATTTGGAGTGGATTTTTTTAAAGAATTTTATTATTATTATTATTAAATTTTACCAAAGTGACAGAGAACAAGCGAGAAGCTAGCTGCCAGGTCTGGGACACGAACCACGGTTGGCCATGTGGGAGTCTGACATCTCAACCACCACACTACCTGCTGGCCCCTGGAGTTGATTTTGCCAATAAACTAACGTTGCATTTGTATCTATCCTACTCTAAGAAAGCACAGGCACCCCTTAGCCCAGTGGCTCTCAAAGTGGAAAGGAGACCCAGCTTCGGTGGCACAGCAATGGCATATTCATCTGTAGGGCTAGAAGCTGGATGGCCAACTGCAGGTTTACTTCTTTTTTTTTTTTTTTTTGGAGAGATTTTTCACTATAGGGCACGTGCGCTCGCCAGACAGACAGAGAGAGACATTAGAGACAGAAAGCGAGAAATCACCCCCCGGGGGGATGGTCACGCCGCAATCCCTTCTCCTCCATTCTCCTCTTGGGATCTTGGGCACGCACGCACACGCGCCCAGCGTGAGTTTTAAGCCACCGGGTTCGGGACGCGAACCGCGGTCGACTACGTGGGAGTCCAGCGACATAGCCATTACGCTAACTGCTGGTTCCCCCAACTGCAGGTTTAGATCTCCAGCCCAGTTGACCTGAAAGATGCCAGACTTGCACGTGCATGCTTCAGATCCTGATGAACTGGAGTGCTAGGTAAACAGACTGTGCTGTGATGAGACTGCCAAGGGCACCTCTCTCTGTCTCTTGTACACCCGTGAGCTTTTTATTATGAATAAGATAAGGGAAAAAATTAAGAAGAAAAGACTCCTAGGACCCAGAAATTACTCTCTTTGGACCTCGCCCTCATCGAGACCTATGCACGGGTCTGTGTATGGGTCTTTCTCTCCAGCCAGTGTGCAGTCACCAGCCCACCTGTTCCTGCTGCTCCCTGCAGGATCTGCATCACATCAGACCTGGCACAGATCCGACTCGGGCCATCTGTTGGAGTGCATGAGTTCTGACTAGTTGTGCATTCCCCTCCCAGGGCTGACCCCTACCTGGTACCGTGTTGTCCAGTATGAAAGCAAGGCACCCGCCCACAAACATCTCCGTGGTCAGCAGCACGGTCAGAATCTGGTCCACTTCTCCCTGCAGGATCTGCATCACATCAGACCTGGCACAGATCCGACTCGGGCCATCTGTTGGAGTGCATGAGTTCTGACTAGTTGTGCATTCCCCTCCCAGGGCTGACCCCTACCTGGTACCGTGTTGTCCAGTATGAAAGCAAGGCACCCGCCCACAAACATCTCCGTGGTCAGCAGCACGGTCAGAATCTGGTCCACTTCAGGAAACCGGAGAGCAGAGCTCGGGGACTTCCTGCATGTGTAGCCTTGACTTCTTTGAGTCAGTTTGGCAATGAAATGGTTCGAAGCCCTGACTCTCAAGCCTCTGTGTCTCTTGTCTATGGATTCCAGTCCCAGTTCTGCCAGTTGCTACTTGCTGACATGGGGCAAATCACTTCACCTCTCTGAGCCTCATGGTCCTCATCTGTGAAATGGAGATGATAATAGTATCTGTCTCATGGATCTGTTTTTGAAAATTAAATGAGCACTATGTAAATATAGCTCAATTACTGTCCACAGAAAGTGTCTTGGCAGGGACCAGCAGATGGTGTAATGTTTGTGTCACTGGACTCCCATGTAGTCAACCATGGTTTGAGTCCCAGACCCGGCGGCTTCAAACACACCAGCCACATGTGTGTGCATACTGAAGATTCCAAGAGGAGAATGAAAAAGAAGGGATTGCAATGTGGCCATCCCCCCTGGGGGATGATTTCTCACTTTCTCTTTGTCTTTCCCACATGGCCGACCACGGTTCAGGTCTCGGACCTGGTGGCTTGCTTTCTTGCCTTGTCTCTCTCTCTGGTCAAATTAAAAATAAATGAATGGGGACCAGCAGATGGCGTAATGGCTATGTCGCTGGACTCCCATGTAGTCAACTGTGATTCAAGTCCTGGACTCGGTGGCTTAAACTCACAGTGGGTGTATGTGCATGCGTGCCCAAGATCCCGAGAGGAGAATGGAGAAGGGATTGCAGTGTGGCCATCCCCTCTGGGAGCTGATTTCTTGCTTTCCTGTCTCTCTGTCCTTCTGGTGAGTGCACTCACCCTATATATAGTGAAAACCTCTCCACTAAATAAATAAATAAATAAATAAATAAAGTAAAGGACAACTGCTAATTAGACTTTCAGCTACTGAGTAACATTCCGAGTTGGATAGGATTTGTGGCTCTAGCTGTGTGGAGCCTTCACTGGAAAGGATTGTGCTCAGAGTTTTGGGCCCAACAGACTCCTATCTCTGGAGAGAGTATACAGTCAGAAGCACCTGTATTGATGGCTCCTGGGTTGGACTCCAGGTAATTGGGAAGCGTCAGTCCAAAGAACATGGAAAATCCAAGAACGAAGAGGTTGCGGGAGGAGTTCATGTCCACAAACTGTAGGTTGGACAGCCCCACAGCGGTAATCATGCCTGTGGGCGCAAGAGAATCGCTGGAAGCACCAGACCACCCAGTGTGTTCCACCTTGCAGCCACCCGGGCTCACACCTGGCACTCACCAAAGAGGGTGCAGAACATGCCCCCCAGAATGGGGTCAGGGAGGGACGCGAAGAGGGCCGTGAACTTGCCGATGGTGCCCAAGACCAGCATGATACCCGCTCCATACTGCACCACGCGCCGGCTGCCCACCTGCCAGGAAGCCAGGGGCGGGGCTGGGCCCGGGACGAGGCTGGGGCGGGATTAGTTCTAGGGCGGGGCCTGTTGCTAGAGCCGACCTAAACCTGTTGGGACTTGATGCAGGGGCGAGGTCTCTCAAAGACTGGGTGGGGCTTGACCGAGTTGGGGACGGTTGGGGCGGGACCTTCGGCACAGGGGATGGGAGCCGGACTTTGTTCTGCTTTGGTTCGTCGCTGCACCTTGGTAATCCCCAGGACGCCGATGTTAGGGCTGGACGAGGTGGACCCGTTGCCTGTGCCCAGTAAGCCAGCGATAATGCAGCAGATGCCTTCGGTGAAGATGCCCCTGTAAGGGAGGGGGCGGTGGGGGTCTTGGTCCAGCCTTTGCACCACTGTGTCCTCCCATCGCCCAGCTGCCCGCCTCTCCAGGGCTGCGCTGGCTGCAGCTACCCATCTCTGGTACTCCCACCACGGGCCAGGGCATGTGTGAGAGTCGGGAGCCCAGGTCCAGGTGCTGCTCCTAGTCCCGCGGCACTTACTCCCTTAGGCAATTCTGGATTTCTGCCTCCTCATCTGTAAAA